CCCAGCCCCTCCAGTTAACCTCTCGGGCCTCAGCTTCTCACCTGAAGTGGGGTAACAAAACCCACTTGACCAGGACGCTACAGGCCTGGAAAGAGCGGATGTGTGGCAGGCCCTTTAAATATCCGTCTTCGCAAAGCTTTAAGTCTGCCCCAAAGCTAATCATTCCAATCGCAGGTCACAGATGAGGTTTGGAGAGGCCAGGATTTTCCATGGTCCTGCTTAGGCAATCCTGCTCCCCACGCCAAGTACCAGGCTCCCCCAGGCTCCCAAGCTCCTGCACTGCCCCTCTGCATGAGGAAATGCCCAAGATGCAAGGCAGGATCCTACCAGCCAACATCTCCTGAAGACCTCAGCCCTTGGCCAACGTCTCCTGAAGACCTCCTTGCCACTGCCTCCTTCCTAGGCCTAAGACAGATGGACTAGCCAAAGGTCAGCCACAAGCAGATTAAAAGATAAGGAAGATGCCAAGACTGCTAGTGATAAAGGACAAAGGAGCGTGTGATCTACTTCCACCAACAGTGCTCCCTGAGTTAGTGACCTGGCTGTGCCAGGTGCTTGGAGAGGAGAGGCTGGATGAGGCCACCCAATTCCTGCTCCCAGAACCTCAAGCCACATCTCCCCATGGCAGCCACAGGGAGCTCTTCTCCGTTTGAAATCCCGTTCTGTGACCCGAGGTCTTTGGTGAGTGCCCCCCGCCTGCTACCCTGGGACCTGCTCACAGAGTGTGATGGCACTCTTATTCGTACACCGGGGACCCCCAAGAGCTCCCCATCATTTCTAAAGCCCACTCGGACCTCAAGCTCCCGACATTTGCACCTGCTGTTCCTTCCACCTGCAATGTTCCCTCCCTGCATCTTTATCAGAACCAACTCAGCAGTCACCTCCCCCTGGAAGTCCTCCATATCCCACTCGCAGAGGCAGCTACCCCCTACTGGATTTTCTTTTTGTGGTGTCTCAGGCCTCCTAAGGAGTACGTGTCACTGGACTGAGAGTGTCTCTCTCTGGTGGGACACACAGGCTGGTACTGGGCAGGGACTTGGCATTTGTGGAATGAATGCCTGAATGCCAGAGCTGGCCAGAGGCTCCATCTCCACCCCAGACCCCTTTGCCCCACTCCACACCTCCAGGATTTTGATGCAGGATGGCTAGGGAATGGTGATCTGGACTGGAGTGGGGACGGGGGGGTGGTCTCATCTCGAAGCTGCTGTTTCCAAACCAAGTTCAGCTTTTATTGTCAGTGTTCACTGGGGTGATTGAGGGTGTGGATGAAAACGAGACCCCGCCGAGTCCCCCTTGGTGCCATGGCAATGTAGATGGGGGACCACAAGGGTACACTGAATGTGGACCCCACAGACCTCCAGATTGTGCCTTATTCTGTCGTTTGGGGGGGTGATACCCACCCTACTCACAGAATCCTGGGATGTTCAGGAAATCAGCCCCAGAAACACCAACATTTCAAACACTTTAGCATTCTGTTTTGCTCCAAATGAACATGAGAACACGAACCACCCTATTCTCCACCAGTGCCAATATTCCTTCCCCGCATGGCAGTAGGACCCACTAAAAGTAAAACCGCAAAGGCCACAGAGGAGGGGGTCCTTTATATAAAACCAGCTAGCTCCCCGCCAGAGCTCCGGGGCCCCCACCTGGCCCCAGAACAAAGAAAGGTGTCCCCTGACAGGCCGCAGTCTTGGGGCACCTATGACCTGGCTCAGCCTCCTCAATGAGCTGGGGAGACTGAGGCACAAGGGTGGTCGTAGCTGATCTGTGCGGCAGCCTTCTCCTGGCCGCCAGCCGGACCAGCCTTGTCTCCCTACAACTGGGGCAGAGGCAGCGCCTCAGAGCTTGCCCTGAACGCTGCCCCACCTCGGCCATCCCCTGCCTCACCCCAGACATGGAAGGTTCTAGTCTGGCTCCTAGTCAGCTGGGCCAGCCAGCTGCCAGCTTCCTCCCCACTTAGCCAAAGCGTTCAAGGCCTGCTGTGCCTAATCACCCTCCTGGGCCTGGGGGCCAGTGGGTGGGGAAGGGGCCAGTTGAGGAAGCCGAAGAGGAGGCGCTGGGGGACCCGCTTCCGCCCCAGGTTCCAGGGTAGATCCGGGTAGGGGGGTCCCTCTTTCAGAAACAAGATCAGTCTTATACAAACGGCACAAAATCCCCAGCCCACGAGCACACATGGGGCTAGGGCCGTACCCCGGCTGCAAGGGAGGGACCCAGACGTGGTCCTGGATGGAGGGACCAGGTGTCCAGGTTTGTGTGGGACTCACAGGGCTCCCAGGACACAGCACTTCCAGGGCTAAAGCTGGGAAAGGGCCAGCAAACCGGGTTGAACCGGTCACCCTAGCCCCGAGCTCAGACTTCCTTAGCTTCAAGGTGAAGTCCACGGCCTCCCTGACCTCTTGGGGTGCCGATGGAACACCAGGGCCAAGGTCAGGTCTCCAGCTACATCCCTTGCATACTCACGAACGCGTTAGAACACGTCGGCGCACCACACATTTTCCGAAAAAGACTGGAAGGCAGGCACTGGGCCTCTCTGAGTGGTGGGATCACACGTGATTTTTTTCCTGATTGTTTTTATCGTGGTAAAATAGACAGGACATAAAATATACCATCGTCACCATTTTTAGGTACAAGGTGGTATTACGCCCAGTACATTAATATTGTGTGACCATCACAAGTGATGTTTCTATCTTCCAGACATCAGCAGGCGTTACTTTTGTGATCAGAAAAAAAAAAATATATGTTTTAAAGGTGACAATGAGCCTCTATCAGCTGTCTCTGTTCACACAAAGGCAGTGAGCACAGCTAGGAGGCCGCTGGGGGTGGGGAGGGGATCTGGGCAGTAGATGAGTGCTTGGCCTAGATGACCTTTATCCTGCCCAGTCCTGAAACCCAGGATTCTGACCTCTTCCAGCTCCCGGAGAAGCGATCAATGTGCTTTGGAGATTGCAAGATTTGGGTTCAGATCCTCTGTCTGCCGCTTACTTGCTCAGTAACCTTGGGTCTGAGCCTGCTTCCTCAAGTGATGCAGAAGCCGTAGGGGAATGAGTGGGGGGTAACTGCACGCAGGCCCCCTGCACCCAGCGGCCTCTCCACCGTTACTTTTCCTTCCTCCTTCTTGGAATGTCTCTCTGGCACCCGGACGTGATGAACAGAGGTAAGCCCTGCTTATCCTTCAAGGCCCAATTTGATATCATCTTCTCCAAGAAGCCTCTCTGATTCCCACGGCAAGGGGTACCCCTCTGCTGGCTCTCACGGCCTCTGCCCCCGGGGGGGGGGGTACCTGGCTCCCTTCCCAGTGGGACTCTGTGATCCCCGAGCACTACCGGCTGCGTCTGAGTCATGCTGCCTTCCCTAGGGGCCCAGCAGACTTGATGAAGCTTTGCTAAATGAAGCCATCAAGGCAGAAGTGTCCCAAGCAGGCACACTGCCCACACCTCCTCAGTGGCTTCAACCTCCCAGGCCCGTGGCCCAGGGGCTGGCAAAGGGGAGCAGAGCACACAGCTGGTTGGCCTGATGGGGCAGGTGTGTCCTCCCCCCAACCAGAGTTCTGTCTCTGCCAAGGGCCAGTCGGGGTCGCTGGGGAGCTGGAGACTGGCACAGATGAATGAATCCAGTACCACAAACCCTTCTGGATGTGCCCGGGGTGCCAGGCCCATGGCCAGGCCCTATGTGGCCACTGGGGCTTCCCTGCCCTCAGCAAGCTCCCCATCTTAAGAAGAAAGGGGGTTCTTGTGGTGCCAGGAGGAGGTTTTAACATTTTCAGACAAAGGACAGTTAGCTTCCTTTCTCTCTGGCAGGCCAGAGATAAACACCCAAGCTGTCCCACCCATCAGATCCTAATATTGCCCTGAAAACCCAGGAAGTGAGGGAGCTTAAGCACCCTGAGGCTGTGGCTGGCCTTAGGTGTAGTCCTTTGGGGTCGCTGATAGTGACCCTGGCCAGTGTCCCCAGTCCTAGCCCCCTGTGGGCCCACAGGAATAGGCCCCAGGCCTGTAGAGGCACAACCCTCCAGTGAGGGTGTTTGGGCAATGGCCAGCAAACCCTAGGGGGGCCAAAGGCACCCCCTCCCGCACTGGCCTTCTCCTGGGGTGCTGCCCACACCATCTGAACCGCCCCCTCTGTGCTCACTGTCTGTGTCCCATCCTCCTTCCCCAGAGCCCCAGGTCTGAGCAGGGACCCCCCCTACTGCTGGGGGATTCTGACCCGCACCAGGTTGAGGTCCAGAACAGGCCTCTCTGCCAAACCCCCTCTCCCAACAAGCATTCAGGTGTACTTGGTGGGGCGGTCATGGATTCAGGAAATATCAGAGCCCAAGGTGGCTCCTCCCACCTCTCTACAAATCGGGAAACTGAGGCATGAGAGAAGACTTGCCTCTCCCCACCTCAGAATGTAACTCCTCGTTTCCCATAAACATTCCTTGGGTGGTTCCCGGCCCAAGGTCACGCCGCGGAGAGGCACTGCCCGGGTGGAAGCCAGGTCCCCGGCTCCCAGCGCATCGCTCCATACCTTCCGGGCTAAGCCATCAAACCGGGTTTCCGGCCCTCTCCTCCTTGAACGTCCACGGCAGACGTGGCGTGCACCCGGTAGTTGATCTACGCCCTGATCCACCCCCCCCCCCAAAAAAGGCCACCTGAGACCCGGGCTCAATCCCCACCGCCGCTGATCCGCCCGGCGGCAGAGCGCAACCGGAGCCGCGAGCTGCATAGCCGCGGCCTGGAGATCACGGCGATGGGGGGCCGCACGCGAACGGGGACGCCGGGAAGCAAGGGCGCCGGCAGCAGGAGCGGGAGCCCCTCGCCAGCGCTGGGACCCCCGCCCGGGGCCCGGGAAGGAGGGGGCGGGGTGGCGGCCGCCAGCACCCTGTCCGGAAGGCTCCCCGCCGGTTGCGGCACCTTTGCCCGGGGTTCGGCGGGGTTGGGGTCCGTCCGGGCGCGCCGCCCCTGCCCGCTCCCCCACGACACGCCACCCCCGGCGCGGCCGGGCCACCCAGCCGTCCTTACCCAAGACACGACGCGCAGAATAGTGTGCGGCTGCCGGACCAGGGTGTGGGGGTCGAAGGCGCCCCCGGCTTTGCCCGCTCCGTACGCACCCCCTTCCATCGTGGCTGCACCCGCGCGGTGCCCCCCGCTCGGCGCGCGCCGCCGGCCCTGCGCGTGCGCGGCGCCCCCGCCCCCTCCCCTGCTCGCGCGGCCGGTGTGGTCGAGGGCTCCCGCCAGGGGGCGTCGTGCGCGGACCGCGCAGGGGCGCAGGCGGGCGGCGGGCCGCGCGCGCTCGTTCTCGGGGCCGCGCGTGCTGCGGACCGGGTGGAGGGCGCGCTCGTCGCTGGCGTGGTGACCTCTCTGCGGAGCGGGGCTGGGGCGGGTGCCGCAAATACGGGACGTCTCCACCCCCGGGCGGCCGCTCTCCCGGGCCGCGCTGTCCCTATCACAGCCCCGCGGTGCCTGAGGCTCTGGCTGAAACCGTCTGCGTGATTTGTTTTCTGTCGCTGTCTGTCTCCCAACCTAGTAGGGCAGGGGCCGCGTTTGTCTTCCTACAGAGTAGATGCCACAGGAAGATTTCTCGAATGACTGAATGGACCACGAATGAATAACCCCTCTCTCCGAGCCCTCCGAAGCATCCACCTCCCCAAGGACCTTTCAGTTTCCACCTTGCTTTTAGCTTGACATCACGCCGTGGGCCACTGTGTCTGCGTATCCCCTACCCCACGCCTGGAGGGGCCCAAGACATCTGGTACAGAGGAGGAGGCTGAGGAAAAGCAAAAAAAAAAAAAAAAAAAAAAAAAAAAAAATAAATGAATGTGTCCTCCCCCTCCCCGCTACCCTTTTCCTTAGTTCAGTAATTAATTACGTCATTATTTGTTCATTGTTTGCTTCTGTTAGTCTGTGGAGCCAATGGCCAGGCACACAGGAGGTGCACAATAAATACACCCTACTCTCCAGAACCGCATTACAATTTGGGCGAGGCCACCAGGTTTCATGGGAACAGGTAGGCTGGAGGAGTGCTAGTTGCAGTGGGAGAACACCTTCCAGGTCTGGCCCTTGAGATGACCTGCAGTCCTTAGGGCCTCTCTCCGTGGCCCAGGTACCTCCATTGGTTCCAGGATTAGGTTGGACAAGGATATGCTTTGCTGCTCTGTTGTCATTCTGTGACGAAAGGACACAGGTCTGTGCAGAGGAAATGTGTGGTGGGTGTGAGGTCATGTCTTAGAAATATCACCTCGAAGGGGCACCTGGGTGGCTCAGTGGGTTAAGCCTCTGCCTTTGGCTCAGGTCATGATCTGAGGGTCCTGGGATCAAGCCCCACATCGGGCTCTCTGCTCACTGGGGAGTCTATTTCCCCTCTTTCTCTGCCTGCCTCTCTGCCTACTTGTGATCTCTGTCTGTCAAATAAATAAATAAAATCTTTAAAAAAAAAAAAAGAAATATCACCTCGGCAAATGTCCATTGTAGGCTCTGTTTACCGAGGGTTCATTCTGTGCCTGGCCCTGTGCTAAGTCCTTTACATATATTATCCCCATTTAATACAACAACCTCATAGTAGCTGCTATGATTATATAAAACTTCTAGAAGAAAACACAAGAGAAATTTTTGTGACCTTGGGTTGGGCAAGGAATTCTCAGATATAACGCCAAGACCATGATCCCTAAGGGAAAACAATCCATCAATTGAAGTTCGTCAAAACTCTTCAAAAGTCGCTGTTACAGAAATGAACGAAGGCAAACCACAATGTGGTAGAAAAATCTTTACAAAACATATATCTGATAAAGAATTTGCCTTCCAGGGGCGCCTGGGTGGCTCAGTGGGTTAAAGCCTCTGCCTTCCGCTCAGGTCATGATCCCAGAGTTCTGGGATGGAGCCCTACATCGGGCTCTCTGCTCAGCAGGGAGCCTGCTTCCCTTCCTCTCTCTCTGCCTGCCTCTCTGCCTACTTGTGATCTCTGTCAAATAAATAAATAAAATCGTAAAAAAAAAAAAAACCCAAACCCTTTGTTAAAAAAGAAAAAAAAGAAGAAGAATTTGCCTTCCAGGTGCCCCTGGCTGGCACAGTCGGTTGAGTGTCAGACTCTTGTTTTTGACTCAGATCATGACCTGAGGCTTCTGAAGTCAAGTTCCGAGTTGGGCTCTGAGCTCAGGGAAGAGTCCACTGAAGTTTCTCTCTTCCTCTCCCTCTGCCTTGCCCCTTGCTTGCGTGCTCTCAACGACCCCCTCTAAAATAAATAAATACATCTTAAAAAAAAAAAAAAAGACTTTGCATCCCAAATATATAAAGAACTCTACAAAGTCAATAATAAGAAAATAACCTGGTTTTTAGAAAATGGGTGAAAGACTTGAACAGATATATTTCACCAAAAAAGATACACAGATGGCACCTAAGCCCGTGAAAAGATGCTCAACATCACTAGTCCCTAGGGAAATGCAAGTGCAAATCAGGATGAGACACTTCCACATACCTATGAAAATGGTTAAAAATTTTAATTTGGGGGTACCTGGGTGGCTCAGTGGGTTAAACCGCTGCCTTCGGCTCAGGTCATGATCTCAGGGTCCTGGGATCGAGCCCCGCATCGGGTTCTCTACTCAGCAGAGAGCCTGCTTCTCCCTCTCTTTCTCTGCCTGCCTCTCTGCCTACTTGTGATCTCTGCCTGTTAAATAAATAAATGAAATCTTAAAAAAAAAAAAAAGGGTGATTTTTCAGGGCGCCTGGGTGGCTCAGAGAGTTAAGCCACTGCATTCGGCTCAGGTCATGATCTCAGGGTTCTGGGATTGAGCCCCACATCAGGCTCTCCGCTAGGTTGGGAGCCTGCTTCTCCCTCTCTCTCTGCCTGCCTCTCTGCCTACTTGCGATCTCTCTCTCTGTCAAATAAATAAATAAAAGCTTTAAAAAAAAAGGGTGATTTTCACTGTATGTTAATTATACACTTTTTTAAAAAATGGGAAATAAATCTGTGTGAGTATGAAGGACTGAATAAGTAAATATACATTCACATATTCATTCAATAAATCTTTATTTAAAAACAATTTTTAAATATTTTATTTATTTATTCCACAGACAGAGATCACAAGTAGGCAGGGCAGCAGGCAGAGAGAGAAGGGGAAGCAGGCTCCCCATTGAGCAGAGACCCCGATGCAGGGCTCGATCCCAAGACCTTGAGATCATGACCTGAGCCGAAGGCAAATGCTTTAACCCACTGAGCCACCCAGGTGCTCCTAAAAATTTTTTTAAGATTTTATTTATTTATTAGGAAGAGAGAGAGAGAGTGCAAAAGAGAGCATGAGCAGGGTGGGGAGGGGCTGGGGGAGAGGAAGCAGGGACCCCCTCAATAAATCTTTATTTGAAACCCACCTTACCTAAGACTTTGTGCTAGACATGGGGGCATAAGGGGTAAAGAATTTAGAGAATGTTCTAACCTTTCCCCCATTAAGATTTGATCACACCGATGAATTTAAATCTCAGAAAAGGTGTTGTTTTAGGAACCTGAGCTATAGACGGAGGTATTCTTGCGTGAAAATCCTGGTTCCCTCTGCAAATGGCTTCACCTCTTTGGGACTGTTTCCTCATATGATAAATGGAAATAAGCATAGTACTTTATTATAAATAAATCTGAGGCGGTGCCTGGGTGTCTCAGTCCCTTAAGTGTCTGCTTTTGGTTTGGGTCATGATCTCTGGGTCCTGAGATTGAGCCCCCCTCCCTAGACCCCCTCCCCAAATCAGCCTCCTCCTGGGATCCTGCGTCTCCTTCTCCCTCTGCCCCTCCACCTGCTCTTGCTCTCTCCCTCCTTGTCTCTCTCTCCCAAACAAATAAATTAATGAATTCTTTAAAAAAAAAACCAAACAACCCTGAGGATTGTTGTCAGGATTAAATGAGAGAATGCACAAAATGGACTTAGAATAGTGCTTGATACAAAGAACGAGCTTAGTAAACATTGTTGGCCTTCCCATCTCGGTTGATTTTTAAGGTAGGTTTCTTAGCAGCACAAAGTTATAAATGATGGGTAGGTTTCCAGGGTCCCCCAAGAACCTCTACTTAATATCTAGCATTGCAGGTGTTTAGAAACGTCCTCCTCTCCTACTGTTTGTGTTTATGTGTTCCCTGTTAATGGCAGGGCCAAAGGAGGAAGTCAGACTGTTCTTTGTAGGTCAAAATTTTGCAAACCCAGAGCTGCCTGATCTTGCCCCGTTCTGCACGGTAATTTTGAGCTCGGGTCCCGGCTGAGCTGTGACTCGCCATTGCTCACTCTCTCCTGCCCCCTTGAGGCTGCTTTGGTATGGAAGGCGTTAGGTCTGTTTTCTGCGAGAGCATGGGGTTGCCTGGGTGGAGGGGCAAATGTTTTCATTGGATTTGAGTGGAAAAACCATAATTTTAAAAAATTTGCTACTGCAATGGGTGCCTGGGGGGCTCAGTCGGTGAAGCATCTGCTTTCAGCTTGGGTGGTGACACCAGGGTCCTGGGATCAAGCCCCACATCTGCTCCCTGCTCAGTGGCGAGTCTGCTTCTCCCTCTGGCTCTGCTGCTCCTCCCTTCCCCCTGCTCCTGTTCACCCTCTGTCTCTCTCGCAAATAAATAAATAAAATCATTTAAAAAAATTCTCTAGGCTGTTTAAAACAAAACAAAACAAATATTTACTTATCTATTATTATTTTTTAAAGTTTTTTAAAATTTTTATTTATTTATTTGACAGAGAGAGGGAGATCACAAGCAGGCAGAGAGACAGGCAGAGAGAGGGGGAAGCATGCTCCCCGCTGAGCAGAGAGCTCATCGGGCTCTCTGCTCAGCAGATATGGGGCTGGATCCCAGGACCCTGAGATCATGACCTGAGCCGAAGGCAGAGGCTTTAACCCACTGAACCACCCAGACGCCCCTATTTTTTAAAGTTTTAATTTAGATTCCAGTTAGTTAACATACTGTGTAAATAAATAGTTAATAGTAGTTTAATAATAGTTTAATAGTAATAGTAGTAATAGTACTTACAGAGGTAGAATTCAGTGACTCAATACTTCCATCCCACACCCACTGCCCCTGCGAACCGGCGCCTCCTTAATCCCCATCATCCATTTCACCCACCCCCCCACCCACCTCTCCTCCAGGAATGTTTGTTCTCTATAGTTAAGAGTCTGTTTCTTGGTTTCCCTC